GTCTCGATTGCCTCCAAACCTGGTGTGCAGGGCCCTCTCAACACGCTGATTCCAAAAATCACTGCCTTTGGGGTGAGATTTTGCGTAATTTCCGAGCTACAAGACGCGTAACACTGCCAGATCGACGTTGCGGGGCGTTTCGATTGCCTCCAGATTTGGTGTACAGGGCAATCTCAACATGCTGATTCCGAAAATCAGTATCTTGGGGGGGGGGGGAATTTTGCGTAACTTTCGAGTTATACGACGCGTAACACCACAGTTCGATATTTCGGGGCGTCTCGAGTACCTCCAATTTTGGTGTGCAAGGCCTCCTCAACACGCTGATTCCGAAAATCCCACCTCAAAGACCTTGATTTCGGAATCAGCGTGCTGAGAAGCCCCTGCACACCAAATTTAGAGGCAATCGAGACACCCTGCAATATCCCACTGGGTTGTTACGCGTTGTATAACTCGGAAGTTACGCAAAATCCCAACCCAAAGACAGTGATTTTCGGAATCAGCGTGTCGAGAATGTTGTGAACATCAGATTTTGTGGCGATCGCTGACGCCTCGGAATAGCCAGCTGGCAATTGGATATCAATCTGCTGCTAGATCGACGGACTTTTTTGGACTTCACAATATATCCTCTTGATATTTCACCCAGCGACATTTGCTTGATTCGCTGAAATTTGTGTGTATATGTGATTCCAGCCAGAGCAGCTGAAGCGGCCAGAGGTGCCGAGGACGGTCCTGCTGAAGAGCAGTGAATCGTACGCCTGTAAGCCCCACGACCTTGACGAGCGCGCGATGTGTGCCTGGCAACGGTCCCTTTGCTGTAACGTTTAAAGCTACCCAAGCCACCGTTGCAGGTAGTACGCGTTGCAGGTAGTAGGCGTTTAGTAGTAGGCGTTGCAGGGTTAGTAGTTGCAGTAGCAGGGTTGACTACGAATTAACCCACTTAGCTGCTCATGCCGTACTTGCAATGTCCGCACCTCTAAAATAACTCTTCGCACATGTCTAGGCGATTGCTCCCTTTGGTGTGGTCGCTTCGGTTCCCTACGCTTTCCTGGGGGAGGGAAGATATGTGGGACCGAAGCCTCCTCTCCAAGGCGAGCAAAGGAGGCACATGCCGGGACCGGTCCGTAAAAGGACGCACCTCGGGTGGGTTACGCCCCCCCCCCCCCGCCCGTCACCCCGAGACGACCGACCATATGGGCCCATATGCCACCATCACCCGTGTCCCACGGGTAGCATTCTTGGCACTGGGTGACGTGCAGGGCTCCCCAATTTTCGACGACCCGCAATTGTCACGCTAATTCCACGAGAATAAAGCACCACCATGTTTTGCTTCGGCTGATATTAGACTTCCATCAAAACATTTCAATTCTATAAAAAAATTGTGCTACCAAGATATATTTTAGCATCCTGCTAGAATATTCGAAAATGAAAGCAGGATCCTGGACAACCTCTTATGTAGATGATGATGATAGTGCTGTATATAAGGGTATAATTTAATCCGCCTCTTCCCGTCACCAGGAAGTGCTCGCATTTGCCAGCTGCTGTGAGGACTGACGGGCGGGGAAATGATCGGCATTTGAGCCCACGAAAGCTTTAAGTGTGTTAGTATTGTGCTGTTAAGTCTTAAGTCATAGTAATAGATGGTTCACAAGATTACGTTAAGGTGAGACACGGTTCAGGAATGTCATCAACCTCCCCCCCCCCCGGCGAGAGGGGCTTGTTCGGCCCCCTCCACCTCCCCCTCCCCCCCCCCCCGGCGGGGCCGAGCTTCGAACTTGTTAAAGAGGTGGGCGGAAAAAGTCTCCGCACGATAAACCCCTCCACCATCCGCCGTGAACTGGAGCTCTACCGTGGCCAGGTGGAGGCCGCCGAGCCGCTCCGCTCGATAAACCCCTTCATCATCCGCCGTGAACTGGAGCTCTACCGTGGCCAGGTGGAGGCCGCCAAGTCTCCGCACGATAAACCCCTTCATCATCCGCCGTGAACTGGAGCTCTACCGTGGCCAGGTGGAGGCCGCCGAGCCGCTCCGCTCGATAAACCCCTCCACCATCCGTCGTGAACTGGAGCTCTACCGTGGCCAGGGGGAGGCCGCCGAGCCGCTCCGCTCGATAAACCCCTTCATCATCCGTCGTGAACTTGAGCTCTACCGTGACCAGGTGGAGGCCGCCGAGCCGCTCCGCTCGATAAACCCCTCCACCATCCGTCGTGAACTGGAGCTCTACCGTGGCCAGGGGGAGGCCGCCAAGCCTCCGCTCGATAAACCCCTTCACCATCCGCCGGTGAACTGGAGCTCTGCCGTGGCCAGGTGGAGGCCGCCAAGCCGCTCCGCTCGGGAGCCCTTCTGGTGAGGGCTTTCTACCAAACACCAGGCCAAAGCCCCCGCTGAAATTAAGCAGGTTCCTGCAGCGGGCGGCGACAATCGCGATCGTAGACTGCCTGAACACCATCCAGGCGGTCGTATACAGCCCGGAGCTGACCGAGCTGTCGGATGAGAAGCTGCTGGAGGAGCTGACCGAGCAGAGGGTGTGCGAGGTCATGCGTCTGCCCGTCCCAGCCTGGGCTCCATTCCCCTAGTCCGCCTGCGATTTGGAGGGCTGAAACTCCCGCGAGCCATCCACTGTGGATACCTCATGGTTCCGGTAAAGGCCAGGGTCCCTCCCCCAGCACTGCCGCGCGTGCCAGCGGTTCGGCCCACGTCGACCGAACCTGCCGGGCTACGCATCCTACCTGCGGCTGCTGCGCCGATCCACACCACACGCGGGAGTGTGACGGGGAAAACCCGCGCTGCGCCACATGCAAAGGCCCGCTCGCAGCTTGGGACCGTCTCGCCTGGGCCGCTTGGCAAATGCAGCACGAAGCGCTGAGAGAACGCCAGCAGCAGGCCGCGGTAGCGGCCCTTGCACCCGACCAATTGGAGCTCCACTCTCAGGAGTGGCCTACACCGCAGGAGGCGTACCTCGCCCATCCCCTCTAACACCAGCTGCGCGGCGGCGCTCCTCCCTCCTCCGCATTCTACTGAGGAGCCCAAGATGCCGAGCCAGCGCCGTGCCACAGCGGAGCGCTCACCCTCAGCACACCGCTCCTCCTCAGCAGGCCAGCCGCGTCTGGTGCGGCGTCCGATCGAGCGCGCGCCGGCCCACCCAGTTAAGGCGAACCCGGTGGCTGCGAGCTTCCCTGAGGAGTGACCCGCCCCACCGTCGCTGCCCTTGATCTATTTTTCGCCGCCGCTTCGCTGGATGATCTCCCTCCCCTCCCTAAATGAATCCCCAATTGGGTGAATTCTTACTCCAATGAAAGACTCCAATGATATGGACTTCAAAGTCCTCAAAGTCAAAGACTTCAAAATTATTGCTCCAATGCTCTGGTGTCCCATTCGGTAGAATTCAAAGAAAAATGATATCATGATTATATATATATATATATATATATATATATATATATATATACATATACAATCAAATATATGATCAAAAATAAGCCATCGCTAACCACCGTTCAACTCAGATTCTCTTCATTATAACTTAATTATTAACGGTGCTCTCAGCTCGCAATCCATTTTGGGCGACCGTATACCGAACGTAATCCTTCAGTTTAAACGCACACACACACATACACACAAGAAACGCATCAGAAACGGAAGGGCAGGCTCTTCTTGGTGAGTCTTAACAAAAGCACGACCAGCACACCTGTATTTATACTGACGGCTCCCGACGCGATGGCTGCACGGGAGCCGCCTTCGCACATCCTAGTTACCCCAAATCAAACCGCCTGTCAAATTACAATGCTGTGTATACGGCTGAGCTGACAGCAGTCCTGGCAGCCCTGCCCTACATCAAGCAAGGTAACATACATAGGGTAGTCATATGTACTGGCTCCTATTCCTCGCTACAAGCTCTCAGCACTCTTTATAATTCATCCTATCCAATTATAAACGGTATGCGTCGAGCGCTCTGCTCCTCTTCTCAACAAACCCACGTAATATTTCTCTGGGTGCCCAGACACGCCAAAATTCATGGAAACAGCCTCACTGCTGTGGAAGCGAAACGAAGTTCTGTGTTACTGGAGCCCCGTCATCTTCCTTGTCCCGCTTCAGATATTCTTGCGGTCATTAATCTACACTTTCGTTTCTTTCTCCAATGTGATTGGGGTCAACACGCTCATCACCAGCTTCATCCAATGAAAACCATATTACAGTACTGACCGACAATTTATCGAGACAATCGCATCAAGGAAGTGCTGCTTGCGCGACTTCGCATGGGCCACATCAAAATCACCGACTTAGCTCACTCCTTCGCTATGTCATCATTGCAACATCCCATCCACAACAGATCACTTCCTCCTCGTGTGCCCGGTGTATCAACGATCAAGACAACCACTCATCAATTACAACAGCGCTAACCGGCTTCCATTCAATCTATTTTCTTCTCTGTGACTTCTATCCCGACGTGCTCGTCCTCTTCGAATTTTCACGCAGTACGAGGTTATCTCATTTCATTTAAATGCAGGTTTTTGTCCTGCGTAATTTGGCGAAAATTGCTGGGCTGTCCCTATTGGCGAGGAGTTGTCTTTTTTTAATTGAGACTTCCAAGGACTAAATAACATCATACAGACTAAAAAATCGTGACGGGCAGCGAAGCCCGGGTTTGTTTTCCCCGTTGCTGCGATGAAGCGGCCCGGCATCCATCCATCGCAGAGGTCGCTGACAAGGGACACCACGTACAGGACTCGCTGCATCCGAGGAGTCTGGCGGACGGGACGGTGAGGAGCCTCTCTTGTCGTTCAAGCGTACTGAATGCGTGTTGTGTCGCGCAAGAAATACATCCATTGCTGCATTATTGCTGGTCCGCTTACTTACTACGGCCTTTTTGAACACAAAAAATAGGCCAGATTAGCGAAACATAGCGTCAAAACATACCCTCTACCCTGCTTTGCTCGGACGGCATAAGCCGACATAAGCCGACAGCGTACCATAGTCCTTGCCTGGCCCTAAACCGGAAGTAATTCCCTCCGCCCCCACTCGGAAGTGACTCTAGGTCTGTCGAAGGAAAAAAGGGGTCTGTCATTGGCCCACCAAACAAAAAAAGTGATCATTCAACAGAGTTATGGGCGAATCTAGGATCTAAAAACCTGCTGGTAAAACTCCAAAATTTTCATGGATAGGGGAAAAGCTTGATTTATGCCTCAAGATCTAGCTCCTGGAATCGGTTTGCGATATACGGATCCACTTTAGGCTGTAAGTGCAGTTCTCGACTCATGTAGATGTGATGTGTAAGATTGGCATGCAATTCTGCCATGCGGGAAGATGTATGAAATGATTTGTCACGAGGTAACCTGTAACAAATTAGTTTGGCAGGTGTTATATCTTCTTGAAATAAGTGAAAGATTATTCTTTACGCTGCAAAATTTGTTCGTACTCGACAAAAGTACAAGTGAAGATGTTTTTTCATCGGTAAACACATTCGATTACTGTACAAATCACACAAATCCGATGCATCTTGGCCGGTAGGGTTTTCTTTCGCGTGCTTGACCTGCCTTGGACGGCCAGCCCGAGGAGCGATGACGGAGAGCCGAGCCGAGCCGCGGCGCGATCGGCTGACACGCTCACATGAGCTGACCTCGGACACGCTGCGCTCGTACATCCACCAGCTGTACGGCGGCGAGCGGGAGCGCCACTCGGCTCCGTCAGGCTCGGCCCCGCAGCGCGCGCGCGAGGCGGCCGCCTCCACCAGCCGCGCCAGCCGGCTCTCCGAGCAGCGGCCCGCCTTCTGGCACGGCAGCCTGGCTAAGGTGCGCGGCTCTGTCAGCCGCCAGCTGAGCAAGGAGTCCAATCCGCCCGCCGAGGTCATCGACCGTGTCATCGCCAATAAGCTAGAAACGCTGACCAAGGTCAAACCGACCGACAGCCTGCCGGAGTTGACCATTCGCAACGTGGCGAGACATGATAAAAGGTGAGGTGGAGTCAGCCCGCCCATATCTGCGGACGCTTCGTGAAACATGGCCTTGTAGGCACTTCTAGTCATAGTCATTGTAGGTGCAGAACATAAAAATTGTTCAGCATTTGTCTTGCTTCTTCGTCGTCATGGTCATTGGGGCCTTACGACGCACTCAGTTGTTGGGGCTACATGGCGTCGTCTGCCTCTCAACCCAGCGGGAATGGCGAGCACTGGGCCGGGGGGGGGGGGGGGGGGTATCTCACCCCATTCCCCGGGTTTCCCAGTCGCGCACCATAACCTCTAAGCTAACGGCATCCCTATTTTGCATCTTTACGCTGGTATTGGCCATTTATTAACACTGGTATTGACCATTCATTAGTGCCGGTATCGGCCATTCATTAACACCGGTATTGGCCATTCATTAACACGAGCATTGGTCACTCATTAACACTGCTATTGGGCATTCATTAGCACTGATGTAATCGTCCTCACTCATCGGTTACAGTCGACCAGCGTTCCGTCCCGTTTTGTGCAGTCCCTTCAGATCACGCGGTCAAGGGCTAGCCGCCGCACAGAGGAGCGCTCCGCGCAGCGACCGGCGCGCCTCATTACACATACCACACTGGTATTGTTCATGGTCGAGCTTGTTTAAATGTGCACCCGCATTCCCATATCTCAGAGCATGGAGATCGGTTCTATCTAGTTGTACGGTGGGAATGAACTCAAAACAACTTTAACCACCCAGCTTCTTTGACATACTCCCGATGTCATTGATACTAAAGAGGCACGAGGTGTGCACGCACGTCGCGGGCCCATGGCAGGCATCACAGCTTGCAAGAGAGCGCAATATGGTGACGCTTGGACTGCTGCTGCGTTCGGAAAGTTGCCTCGCTAAATATGCAAATGATTATAATTCAGCCGGTGTGCACGCATCGGTTTGTAACCCATACCTCAACGGACTACTGAACATAACTACATGGCTCTGCCCCGCGCAGAGCACAGGCACAGCCTGGCTGCTCTGCCTGCCTGGTCCCTGGTGCGCGGTGCCGCCGCCAGCCGGCAGACGCGGCGTCTGGCGTCGCCCGCCGTCTAACGCGAGCCTCACGTCTCCAGGTCCGCGCGACCCGTCAGCAGCCGAGAGAAGCAGCAGCGCATCGCCGCCTGGCTGCTGCAGGTGGAGCGCGCCCTGGGCGACCGGCGCCGCCAGCAGCTGGGCCAGCAGCCGCAGCTGTCGGTGGCGCAGCTGCCGGCCGAGCCGGAGCGGCCGGCGCGCTGGCCGTCGGAGCAGCGGCGGACCACGCACCGGCCGTGACTAGCGGCCGCGCGGACCCCACACCGGGCACCCACACGCTCACTCCCACACGTTGGCGCCGCTAAATACAGAGACAGACTCGAGACCTGATGTACGTGAGCTGACGACGGCGTCAGGCGACCGGCCGACCGACTGCTCACGGTTCACAGGCGATCCGTACCTCCGCGTTCGGTCCAGCTGGACGACAAAACAACAGTCACTCTCCAAAATTAAGTATATTAGGATATGGGGTGACCAAACAACGCACCGTTCGGATTTTCTCGCAATGCCAACCACATAAAGCAAGGCGCAAGGCAGCCTTCGAACTCTAACGCACGTAACGCGCTCAGTCATCGGCCCGCCCGGCCGAGCGGGTGTGAACAAAAGCGTGCGGCAGCGTCCGGCGGCCCGACGTCCGGGCCACGCTGCCCCCGGCTCTATGTATAGCCCCACTCAGCGCGCGTGGCCTGCGCGGTCCGACCGGCGCGGCCGCCGCGGTATTGCTCCGGCCCGAGGCCCACCCGGACAGTGTGCGCGCAGCCGCCGAGCCCACGCTTCTGTCGTCGGCGGCGTCAGCGGCGACATGACAGCCAGCCACACTCGAGATAACATAATGGTGGCCGGTCAGGCCTGCCCGGCCCGGCCGGCGGCCAGCGTGCTGCGGCGGCGCGGCCGGGCGGCGGACAGGCGGCCCACAGCGGTGTCACACGCACACACAGTTCAGTGGAATCGGTACGCCACGCGGTGCAGTGCGGCCGGCCGCTTCGCGTGGCGTCATTGGTGACCGCCTCGTCGCCATTAGCTACGGAAGGAAGCAGCCACTGGTCAGAGCATGCCACGCCAGTAGACACATCCACACTACACCAGCTGGGCGAAGATCCAGACCTACTCAGCCACTTCACAGAAGACGGCTGTCGCAATGTCAGGTGACATCTCACGGGCGCTGCCCGCCGCTAACCGGCCACGTGTGGACGGGCGGCTGTCGGTAGCCCGGCCGTCTCACCTGCTGTTGGTGGCCAGCGAGGCGCGCAGCCGGTCCAGCTCCTTCTGCTTCTCGGCTAGCTGGAGTCGCCAGCCTCGGTCCTCCTCCTCCACAGACTGCTCCAGCCTCTTCAGCATGGACTCCTGGCGGCCGGCGGAACGTCAGGCCCGGTGACACCAGACAGGTCTCATCCGCATGTACGCACGCACAACTTTAGATGGTCACATAGGTAGTCCCGAAACTGCCGCAGCAGATACCGACACAGTCACACCAGGTAAGCACACACCCATGCCAAAACCTGACACACACAGGGGCATACATGGACGGACCATTGTCACCGACCATCCCACCGGAGCAGGCAGACGGGCGCCCGCTTTGCCGTCCGGTGAGCAGTGCCCGATGATAGACACCAGCTCTGATCCAGCGGGAGCGCATGGCACACACACAGCTACCACTGACGCACGTCGCTAGCAGCACAGCGACGCAGGCGGAGCCCTAAATAGCTTACGCTGTCCCTAACCCGAGAACCTCACCGTCTCAGCCAGCACAGCCTGGTAGTGGCGGGCCTGTGCCGTCAGCGCCGCCTTCTCATCCTCCAGCTGCAGCAGCCTCTGCTCGGCGATAGCGCTGCCGGCGGCCGCCGTCGGGGCTGCCGCTGGTGCCGGCGCCGGCCCTGGCGCTGCGGCGCGGGCGGCGACCGTGCTCAGCCGCTCCTGCAGCTGCGACGACCAGCCGGCCGCGTCCTGCCGGTGGGCCGAACGCCGCGTCAGAGGGCCACACCTCACGCACAAGCGAACGGAGCCGACTGCCAGCCGCACATCGCCAGCCGGCGCACCGCACTCACATTCAACGGAGCCGTTACCGACTGCCATCCCAGGAGCACCGGTCCGCCCGCAAAGCTCACACGAGTCAGCAAAACACAGTCATGGCGACTCGGAGGTCCACTTGCGGCTTCATGACAACAGGACAATTTAGAACATAACTGGTCTACGGCCCATGCCCATCCCGTTAAGTACATTCGTTCGGTCAATAAAACAATATGTGAAGATCTCAATCTACTGCTACATGTATGCGTTGCGAATAAGGCTCTCTGTTGCTAATCACATTCCCATTTCAAGCCCACTCATTGGTCGCGTCAGTAATGTGCGTAGCTCGAATCTCACTAAAACTCAATCAACCTGGGCTTTCTTTAATTTCGAGGTCGATACACAGTCATGGCGACTGAGCCACGACTTAACTTAGACTTGTAACTTCTTCCAGCCGTAAGAAGTGACAAGTCTAAGTTACAGCTGGACAGAAACAGCACTGTCCGGCAAACCGGCGCCACAAAAACTATTATTGAGGAATGTACGCAGATTGAACCTTCTGATCAGTGACTGCTAATGGCTGAAGGTCCACAGCACGCCGCCTCCGACGACCGCACATCACGCCGTACGTCGGTATCGAATGTTGCTCTCCGCGATAGTGGGAGGTAATGACCGACAGGCCGCCGTAACCAGCACCGTCTGTCCGGTACGCAGTGACTGTTCTCCGCCCCTGGACATCCGGCCATCAGCGCTCAGTTGACGTGATGGTCAACGGTCCTGCGCGAAACATCAGCACGACGGCCGCCTCATCAGCGGAAAACGCCGGTCGAGTGGACGAGCGGCGCATCAGCACGACTAGCTCAGTCCACCAGCAGCGCACGTACCACGTCCAGCTGGTCGGCGTTGACCGTGGGGAAGAGGTCGACCAGCAGCCGCCGGACCAGGAGCCGCTCATCTCGGCGTGAGGCCGCCTCCGCCGCCTGCCGGCCACGCCGCAGCCGTCACACGGGCAGGGGCGGGCCGCCGCCACGGTCCTCACACGGACGGGGGGAGATCGTGGACGGGCCGCCACCGCGGTCTTCACACGGACAGGGGAAGATCACGGACGGGCCGCCACCGCGGTCCTCACACGGACAGGGGAAGATCGTGGACGGGCCGCCACCGCGGTCCTCACACGGACAGGGGAAGATCGTGGACGGGCCGCCACCGCGGTCCTCACACGGACAGGGGAAGATCACGGACGGGCCGCCACCGCGGTCCTCACACGGACAGGGGAAGATCGTGGACGGGCCGCCACCGCGGTCCTCACACGGACAGGGGAAGATTACGGACGGGCCGCCACCGCGGTCGTCACACGGGCAGGGCCAGGTCAGGAGCGCAGCCGAAACGGCGGATAACAGCAAGACGGCCGTGGTAGGTCTGCATAAACCTCGCTTTCAACTGAGGTATCCGTGATATAAGGTTAATGTAGGGGTGAGAGTCAAGCACGGGGAGAGAACGAGGGCAGAGCCATTGCAAATATTAAGATTGGACAAAACAGACCACTTGCTGGAGAGAAAAAAGGAAACAAAGCTTACAAAGCACTTTCAATCAGCAAATGTGACGAGATCACGGACCCAGACAAGACAGAGCGAGTGGAGCAGCAGGGAGAGAGAGCTGGAGCGCGGAGAGTGGGGCGCCGGCGTGGCTCGCGGCCCACCCATCAGCTGACCTGGTGCTCGCGGCGGCGTGCCTCAAGCTCGCTTTTCTGCTGCGCCAGCTGGCTGGTCAGCAGCTGCAGCTGCTCGTCGTGCTGGCGCGCTTCACCGTTCTGTTTCTGGTGGGACGACTCCTCACGCGCCGCCTCCAGCTGCGGCAGAGGCCAAGTACCGTCACGACGCCAGCTCGGCTCTGTCGCCTGACGCGGGCTCCCCGACTCCCCGCCGGCCGATCAGCGGCCGCACGGAGCGCAGCCGTCGGCCACGACAGAAGCGAGCCTAGTGTCCCGCGCGCCAGAGCCGCCTCGGGTCACACGATGTGAATCATACCCGATGTGCGTGGCTGACGGCCGATGAAACTGACACAGTGTGCGGATATACGAAATAAAAAATCATACAAAATGTGCGGACACTCGCTCAGGGATTACTGTGGCTTCCGTGTCATCAGCGGCGTCCAAACACAACATGCGGCCATCGAACTCCCCTGGGCGCTAATAACCACTACAGCTGACGCAAGCCCACTTCCTTCAGAGCTTTCCCGGTTGGCATTCATCAGCCCCAGCCGGAGCTTACCTCGACCCTGGCCTCTTGGAGCTCGTTCATGAGGCGAGCGGCCTCGGCCTGCGCCTGGCCCAGGCGGCCGCTCGCCTCGGCCAGCTCGGCCTCGGCGCGCGCGCGCAGCTCCTCGTGCGCCTGCCGGGCGGCCGTCAGCTGACGCTCGGTGCCGTCCAGCCGGCTCTGCGTGCGCGCCGCGCCGTCGGCCGCGTTCTGCAACTCGGTCATCTGCTGCTTCAGCGTGTTGTTCTCGCGCTCCAGCGCGCCGTGGATCGACTGCAGTTGCTGCAGCTGCGCCACCTGGCGGTCGCGCTCCTCCAGTCGCTGCTGAGCGGCGCGCACGTACGCCTCGTGCTCGGAACGCAGGGCCTCCAGCTCGCGGCGCTGTTGCTCAAAGTCGTCTGCCGGGTGGCGTGGCGCCGGTCAGCGGTAGTGACCTGATGCACGACAGTGTGCGACACACCACGCACATTCATAATGCACCAGAGTATGCATCGTAACATTCCCACTTTCGAGCAACAACACACGACAATAAAAACAGAGGGAGAATATGGAACATGCCAGCCCCAGGTCGGCCCCACACAGTCGACGTCTTTCTCCACCAGTGCCTGTGCGCGGCAAACACGCCCCTTCGAGCCGCCAGCGCCTCACTTTTGAGCATGAGCTCCTGCTTCATCCTCTCGGCGGCGACGGCCTGGTGCAGCTGCAGCTGGCTGCTCTCCTGCAGCTGTTGCAGTTGCTGCTGGAAGGCAGCCAGCTCGGCACGCAGCCGCTGCTCCTGCGCCTGGGCGCGCGCCGAGTCCGCAGCCTGCTGCGCAGCTAGCTCGTCCAGCGTGCGCTTCTGCTGGCCGGTGCGCACGCGCTCCTGGTTGAGCTCGGCGCGCAGCTGCAGCAGCCGCTGCTGGCTGCTGGCCGCCGACTCCTGCTCAGTGTTCAGCTGGTTCTGCGCCTGCGGACGCCACAGACAGGGCGTCAGAGCCGCCCTCGGGCCACTCTCGGCTCCGCAACCGGTAACACAGCGCGTGGCGCCCATAAACGATGTGTCTGACAACGACGTCAGCTGGTGGATTATTTCAAACGATAGCAAAAAACAAAAAACAAAAAAGTAAGCAAGTTTCACGATTATTACAAAGCGATGGTTGCACCGCGAGACCCCGTACATCATCTGTGAGTTAGCTGGCCTGCAGCCGGCGAGGCGAGGCGAGGCGAGGCGAGGCGAGATAAGGTGACGCACCTCCTCCAGCTGTTTGCGCAGCTGGGTGACGGGGTCGGGCCGGCTGCCCTTGGCGATCCAGTCGGAGCTGGACTGTTTGTTGAGCAGTAACTCGATCAGCGTCTGGATTTCTGCCCGGCTGAGTGGCGCCGCCTCCACTAGCGATTGCACGCGCTTCAGGCTCAGGCCTTCTGTCGGCCCGGCAGATATGGCATCAGGCATGGACTGCCCAGATTGTCTACATGGGTCACAGACACTGCTGCGGTGGAGAAGCGACAGAAAAAGTCTGGCACGGTGACAGGGTTCTCGGCTAGGGGCGGTAGATTAGGCGGAGCGAGGGGGGGGGGGAGCTGCCTCCCAACTCCGGGCAACAAAAAACATCAACAGAAGCGGCATTTAACATGCAGTTGTTTTAGTCAATCCAGAATAGCATGTCATAACCTGAACCGAGGGGCTAGATCATAAACACTACACAGGCGCGCCGTTCAATTCATTGTGACCAATACTACTACAGGAAGCCATGTGTGTGAGTGTGTCCGCCATTTGCTCTGTCCTGCGCAAGAACAAACGGCGGCGAGCTTTTACGTGCCATTTTCACACGACCCGGGTCCGCCTGCGACGCTTAGCAGCGCCACGTGGCGTCTCTCGCACAGCGAGCGCGTGGCGAGCGAAATAAGACCGCAAACATCCCCAAAGGTTTAACATGGGTGACGCAAATTTGACACCGATAAGGCGGATGGCCCCGTTCGTATGCATTCCTAGAGTCATACCTCGACAACAACGTGTCGGAGCGACACGAAATTTGTACATTTCGACAGGGAATCAGATGAGAATTCGACTGTTGGCACACTTGCGGTGTCACGTAGCAGGTTTCACGTGCACACGAGCTCGAAAGATAAAATTGGTCGTTTTTATGTTTTACGTTTTTGGTCACATCTCAACAACCAGTGACGGCACAGGCGTAAATTAAGTTTCAAAACATTGAACAAGTGTGGCTGCAACTTCGATGCGCATCACGAGTTTGTACGACGCACGGTTGCACCGCAAATTTCGGAAAATTGGCAAATGTTATGATTTGGAAACACACCACCCAATACAAGAAGCTACCGTCGAAACTGAGAACATTTCGGGCATAAAAATTACATCAGCGCGGTTATCGATTCCAACCCTCTCTCTCTTTACCACCCTGTTGTCGATCTTTTTTTGCGAGACATTTCGCCCACACATTACTTTAGGGTACCGGGCTCCATTACGGTTTTTTTAAGCCGCGATAAAGCAGTGCTGCTCGATCTCCCGGCTGTCGCTACCGCGAATTTCTGTGGGGTGACCAATGATATTACGCAGCCCCTTTGCTCACCATTCCGGGCCGGCATCCCGGCAACCACGGGTCAGAGCGACTCGAGAGCGGCACACTTTGATAGGCAATGGTGCAGGGACTCGCCCGGTATCTAGTCTCCATCCTCACGTGTCACGTGCTACGCGCCCACCAGTTGGCAAGATCGATTGGGCTGCGTCCGTCTGTTATTCACGCGTCGTGGTACATCTCGGCACTCTGCAGGCAGAGGCGTAAATCCAGCTTGAAAGCGTCCACCAATGTCCCGTCTACAACTTCGGCGCTTCAGTGTCCACTTTGTGCGACGAACGGTTAAGTCGCAAATAATTGGAAAAGTAGGGAATGTCGGCATTTTGTCGACGTCGCCGGCCATACACATGACATGGGTGAGGGAAATTCGCGACCGATGTGCGACCAGCCGACACGGCGTGTCATTCCCAACACGCAATACGACAACGACAGGTCAGAGTGGCTCTGGAGCGGCACAATTCGATAGAGAATTGAACTGGTAATTGCGTAGTGTAAAGTGCTGGCTCATGCGCACCATGTGCCATGCCGACACCAATAAGCAATGTCGATTTGGCCTTTTTGGATACTTTTCCAGTTACCGCCCTATCCCAGCACAAGGGCACGAGGCGACTTGACAATGTCATGCTTCGATAGGGAATTTAACGGCGGGTCACATGGCGTCATTTGCATAGTTCCACGGCCCACATGTTGCGCCGACAAGATCTGAGAAGGCGGATTGCTATTTTCGACGGGTTTATACGTTTTATGCCAAATCTCTGCACCCAGGACGCGGAGCCCCTTGAGAGTGGCATGCTTGGATAGAGAACTGGACGGAGAATGACGTGGTGCCACGCGCAAACGTGCCAGCAAAAAAAAACTTGCCATTTTGGACCGCTTTTCACGTGTTATGACATTTTTTGGCACTCAGTGTACCTAAAGGCGTGAATCCAACTGCAAACATAGATAAATCGCATGTTTGCGTTTCAGAAAGAGCGCAACGAAGCCAGCGTGCAGACACCCATTACCCACTAGACATATGACCGTTATTTATTTGATTTCGGTAACACTGACCGTGAGCACAGATAGATCACTGAAAGGCTAGGGATCCCATGGAATCAAACTGACCGGCATGGCCCAGTTCAGAGACGGACTACCGTCAGGCCACATGATTTGTAGACTAGTGCGAAAATACCACATCGGTGACCCTATTGTTTCTATGGCTTTGGGTGAACTTCTTTCTAAAAATTAAATGATACCTCTAAATTCTAATGGATTGGCAGGGCAATTTTGTGTTCGTAATCAAAGGCGTCTGGTTCAGTTCTCTTAGGTTTACACTTGATCACCAGGATGATCACTTTATTGTATTTTTTCATAGCTATGGTGGTCGCCGGCATATGTATAACATGTCCCGCTTACCACGTCTGGGATACGTCCGTCCCCAGTATCCTCACATCCAAACTGTGTCACGCCGCCGGCTGTTTACGCAGTACTTTATTTGTGTTTACGGTCGCATCGACAGTTGAGGTCACTTGCGCCATGGCTGTTTAAACACCAGCCGGCTAGGCTGGGGCTGTCCACTGTTCAAGCCGCTGTCTGCGGAGTGACGGCCTCCGAGCCTCCTACTACCCCCTGACCCCGGCCGAGCCGCCCGGACGCCGCAGTCCGGCCCGTCCCCTGACCCGGCCGAGCCGCCCGGACGCCGCAGTCCGGCCCGTCCCCTGACCCGGCCGAGCCGCCCGGACGCCGCAGTCCGGCCCGTCCCCTGACCCGGCCGAGCCGCCCGGACGCCGCAGTCCGGCCCGTCCCCTGACCCGGCCGAGCCGCCCGGACGCCGCAGTCCGGCCGGGCCGCTGCGCTCATTCTGGTACAAATGTGGCCGAAATTCTTCAATTCCCGACAGTCGGAAACTGTTCGCTCGAGTTGTTTTCCAGCGCCGAATTGATCAGACCCTGTGAAGTCACCTTCAGAAGTCACTTGAGCCTATTGGCGTTTGCTTTACGTCCGTGTAAAGAAGGGACTTTTTTGTCATTTGGCTCTATTGTCATATATTAAGAGCAGGTTTGTGATGTATTCATGAATTAAGCCATGTATTGACATGAAAAGGATCACCAGAGCGTGCTTTATCGATTCCTGGCCTTGAATTTGACCCAAATGGTCTTAAAGTCCCGATTGCACATGATTTTAAATGATACATAACACATAATTGAAGTGCACGCATGGTACTTGAAATAACAACAAAGCAAAAAGTTATGGCGACCAGTTAAAACAGTGGTTAGTCCCACTTTTGACTGCATTCAGAGTCCTTGCCAGTGTATAGGAAATAATTTCTAACAACCTCAATTTCAGAAGTGCGCACGATTCGTCTCGGAAACGGCTTAGTTGTTCGTAACTCTCTGTCAATGGTACTATATGCCACAGCCAGTGCACAATGCTGGATAGTGGAGCGAACGTGATCGAGTCATTGCCACCACCCAGTGGTATGCATAACCAGGAAGAACGGGAGGCCGAAAACAATACAACCGGCAGTGGACCACTTCCACTATCTGCTGATGACCAGCGATCCACTAACCGACATCATCACACTCGACTTTTAATTTGCTTGCTTTGTTTTGCTTCCACACATTTTATGTTTGAAGTCGAACTCATTAGGACGCAGATTGAACACATCTGTCCGTTCAATCTCTTGGGAATGAGCTAAATATGACACGTAAGTCAGACGCCATTAACGTTACGGTACTGGTATAACACAACTGGACGTACGATTTCATTTAAGTCCTGCGACCTCTGTAATTCGTATCTTGTTCGGTGTTCGTTTCTGTACTGCATTGACTTTCGTGACGTAAATGCACACGTGGCAATGTCACAAAAAGTGACAAAAGCACCACGAATAATCCGTTTCACGCTTATTTTGGCGCCAGTTATCGTTTTTAACAGGTGTATCGTACGCATCGGTCATTTTGCCCATTACATGAACATTGGATAGATAAAAGACGTATGTTTCATAACGTAAGCGTAATTGTCCAAGATACAACACTCTTCTACGATCTTATTATGCCATCCCATAACCTTACTCTGGTAAAATGTTAAGAACCACATCTGCTGTGATCCAGTGCGACTTGTAATCTGAAGGGATAAACTCCACCGTCACAACGTGCTATTTGGTGACAAGTGACAAACGGACATAGACACACACTTTGGCAGATGACAGGCGAATACTTTGCTAACTTTCACGAGCCCTTAATGATGTTTCTACATTGATTGGTGCCTGAACTAGAGGCTTTGGCCATTTCTAAGCCCAAACAAACGCAGTGTGCGCTGCCCGGCCGCTGCGCGGCCGACCGACGCCGCGTTCCGTCGCGCCCCGCCCCGCCCCGCCCCGCCCATGTGCTGCGCTGCGGCGGGGTGGGGCGCGCCGCGCGCCGGCCGGTCGGTGAGGTCACCACCAGCCGGACGGTGACCGGCCACCGTCAGCCGCCATGGACCGTGGTCTGATAACACTGCCTGCCAGTGGTAAACACTTGTGTGCCGACCAGTCACGACCGCCGGCTACCGGCCACCGCCGCGGCAGCAGATCAGGCCACGACGGCGGGGTGACACCGATCGGCAGCCCCGCTCCGGACAATACCGCGCTGCAGCGCCGACCACCGCGGCAGGAGATCAGGCCACGACGGCGGGGTGACGCCGATCGGCAGCCCCGCTCCGGACAATACCGCGCTGCAGCGCCGACCGCCGCGGCAGCAGATCAGGCCACGACGGCGGGGTGACACCGATCGGCAGCCCCGCTCCGGACAATACCGCGCTGCAGCGCCGACCGCAGGCAGGCTGCAGTTCGACTACGTCCACACCGGCCAACGCAACACCGGTCGGGCCCCAACAGCCGACAGAGCTTTGGAAACAGGCATTCAAATGCTTTTTGTTGTTTTTTGTTTGTTACTGGAAACAATGGCGCTCTAGAGGCACGGTTCAAGTCCAACCGATGGCCCTCGCCCTGACCAGCCAGAACGGGCAACGGAGGGATGGCGTTTGTGTGGAGCATTATGTCCCGCGCCCAAAACCGACCTATCCTGCCCAACGGCCAGCTGGCTTTTCGATACCAGCCAGGACAAGCAATGCGCGCGTCCCGGGTCTCGCGTCTGAAGCCGCTGGATTATACGCGATGCATCTTTCTCCTGGACGCAGTGTGCTTTTGGACGGCGCGCGGCGGCACGGGTAACCCCGGACATTTACTTCAGTTTTAGCAACTATGCCCACACCCAAGACACGCGCACACAGAAAGGGCAGATGGCCAGACACCAGTACGGCAGAACACTAGACGGACCCACAACCCGTCCGGCCCTTTCCGTACACTAGGCGGCCCCGCAGCCTGTCCAGTACACCAGGCGGTCCCACAGCCCGTCCAGTACATCAGGCGGTCCCACAGCCCGTCCGGCCCCTTCGGTACACCAGGCGGCCCCGCAGCCTGTCCAGTACACCAGGTGGTCCCACAGCCCGTCCAGTACACCAGGCGGTCCCACAGCCCGTCCGGCCCCTTCGGTACACCAGGCGGCCCCACAGCCTGTCCAGTACACTAGGCGGCCCAACAGCCCGTCCAGTACACCAGGCGGTCCCACAGCCCGTCCAGTACACCAGGCGGTCCCACAGCCCGTCCAGTACACCAGGCGGCCCCGCAGCCTGTCCAGTACACTAGGCGGCCCAACAGCCCGTCCAGTACACCAGGCGGTCCCACAGCCCGTCCAGTACACCAGGCGGTCCCACGGCCCGTCCGGCCCCTTCGGTACACCAGGCGGCCCCACAGCCTGTCCGGTACACCAGGCGGCCCAACAGCCGTCCAATACACCAGGCGGCCCCATAGCCTGCCCGGCCCATTCGGTACACCAGGCGGCCCTTCAGCCTGTCCAGTACACCAGGCGGCCCAACAGTCTGTCCAGTACACCACGCGGCCCCACGGCCTGTCCAGTACACCAGGCGGCTCTACAGCCCGTCCAGTACACCACGCGGCCCTACAGCCTGCCCAGTGCATCATGCGGCCCCACAGCCCATCCAGTACACCAGGCGGCCCCACAGCCTGTCCAGTGGACCCACCTGGGCCGGCCAGACTGGCGGCGTTGCGACGCCGTTCGGCCGGACGCCGTTTCTTGGTGGGCGCCGCCTCCAAGCCGGAGCGTCTGTCAGCCGGCGCCGGCACCACCTCCTCGTCCACTTCGGGCTCTTCATCATCCTGCCGGCGCCGCAGCCGTTAGTGGCACGCACAGCAGCTGGACTGGGACGCCACGCATTCGGCAGACGCAACCAGCCAATCCCACGCCGGGAAATGGAGCCTGACACATGTGCATAGAGGTGCGCACCAATAACTCGGCGGCCACAAGAACACCTCATTCCCCCCATAGGTTTAAGAAAACGGTGCGATTCAAGCTCCGGCCATACGAACCTCTACATCCTTTTCCGGAGCCTCCTTCATCTGCTGCTCTTTGACGGCCTCCTTCTGCACATCTCTCTTCGCAACTTCCTTTTCGTCCCTCTTTGGTTCGGCCGCCTTCTTCGCATCCAGTTCAGTGTTCACATCCACCTCAACCCTGGGTTCGGCCTTGGCCATCCGCTTCTTCTTGTCAGCCTGCTTGCGACCGGCAGTAGGGCCCGGGGCAGGGGCAGGGGCAGGGGCAGGGGCAGGGGCAGGGGCAGGGGCAGGGGCAGGGGCAGCGGCGGGGGCGGGGGCGGGGGCGGCGGCAGGGGCGGGTGGGGTAGCCCGTGGGCTGGGTGCCGGAGACGGGTCGTCAGAGTCTTCCTGCTGTCCGTTGACCTCTTCTATGGGGAGCCGGGTTCCGGAGGGGGCCTCCTGACAGCAGGAGACGCCATCACCATCCCCGTCTGCACAGCGAAATTGCGAGCAGACCCCACACGCATGGTCCAATGGTGTTCGCAAAGTACTCACAGACATTGCAATTCAGCTAATTTAAGGCTAGCTAGTCATCACGTTATCAGCTATGCCGAATCGTACACCTGCCGCATGTTTGGAATGAATGTTATCCATTACACAATGGAGAGAAATAAAAGAAAAAGGATTCCCACATTCAGCAGCCTGTGCTGCACACGCACAAACAAGGACGTAATCTCAAGCTGCCGTGCACATAGTTGTGGGCAATTGCTCAGCAGAAAACACAAACCTTTTCCGTTTCGTCATCGCTGCTCTTCTTGTTGTCTCCCGACGACGCTTGCTTGTCCTTCTTTCGGCGATCCTGCCGGTACTTCTTAGGACGCGACTCCTTTTTCAGAGCGGCCTGGCGATCCTGGAAACAAATGCATGTACTATTATTCCGTAGGCAAATTGCTTCACGTGATCGATTATTGACGCCGGCTTCGTTACGTTACAACAGTTGGTTTTCAACCGTGAGGTGTTAAGTCGCCGCCGAACACACAAAAAAACGCGGATGCAAATTATTCCGCCATAAGAAAATTGTACAAATGATTCTGGGGCGGCCCAGCTGGGCGGAGACCGGGGCTGAGCGGTGGAAGCGTCTGCAGATAGTGGCCGGCGCGCCATCCGAGGGCGTGCTGCCGGCGTGTGTATATCAGTCGGCTACAGACCACAGCCGGATCCGGCCACTATCCGAGGGCGCGCTGCCGGCGTGTGTACATCAATCGGTCACAAACCACAGCCGGATCTGGCCGCTTACCTCTGTCTGACTCCGGTTCGGTCAGTGACCTCAGTTCCTTCCGACACTACTTAGCTGACGGACTCTCCTCTTAAGTCCCAGATGATGATGATAGTAATTTGGGCTTTGGGGCGCACCCACTACGTTGGTCATATGGCGCTTATGCCCTCCCAAATCCTAGATCACTCAACAGTGACCACGTCTTTAGAGTGGTCCTATGTCTGACCCGATCCCGATCAATGACACCGATCTCTGATCTGACTCATTCCTAGGTGTGACCATGGTCTTCCGTCTGGAACACTCACAGCCGCTAGCATGGATCGCGTTCTATCTGGATCCTCGCTATTAACATTGGTTGTCCCTCCCGTCACTGACGCTAGCCTCCTGTCCCGCCCGTCCAGTCAGTGACCTTGGTCGCCTGTCTGACACCGTCAAGTCACTGACCTTCGACTCCTGGATGGCGCGCCGCTGCTCGGCCATGGCCTCGTCATAGCTCTTCTCGCGGACACCGGTCACGGAGATGAGGTAGACCAGCGCCACCAGCACGACGAACACCCCGGCGGCGATCAGCAGCGTCAGGCCGTCCATCGCGCTGCGGCGTGGCGAGAGGCAAACACATCCCGCTCAGAGCAGGCGTCCGCAGCCCGCATATTCCCCGCCCAGAAAGGACGTCCGTGCCCACACATATCCCGCTCAGAGGAGACGTCCGCACTGACACATTCCCCGCCCAGAAAGGACGTCCGTGCCCACACATACCCCGCTCAGAGGAGACGTCCGCACTGATACATTCCCCGCCCAGAAAGGACGTCCGTGCCCACACATACCCCGCTCAGAGACGTCCGCACTGACACATTCCCCGTCCAGAACGGACGTCCGCGCCCACGCCTCTCTCGAGCACAATCACGCAACCAGCGAGCAACAGACAAACGAGGCCACGCAGAGTCAACAGCCAAATGCACACCATGGAACGGACACAAACCTCCGCGACCGCCCCATGCCGGTCACGACAAAGAGTGCCATTGTGTGGGCTGGCGCACCGTGCGATCTACCACATCGTGAAAATGCATCCTTAGCTTTGAAAACGAATCATAGACTACATCACCTTGATCGTGTCTGCTCCGTTCATTGAGTTAACGTTTTTTTTTTGCCCTGCGACAGTAGTGCGAGGGGGCCACCATTTCTCGCCGAGGCGTTTTCCCTCGGCCCACCTCCGCCATCCCAGACGGCCCGTACCATAGCTCAATTTGCGTTCCAAAACTTTCCGCCGTAGGACTACCATTCAGTACCTTTCGTTCAAGAGCTGGTCGTTCGCCACTGCTCTGCTTCGCAAGGCCGTGCAATAACTGCAGCCGGTATCTGATGGAGGTGCGCTGATTGCTCCCCGTTTTCCAACAAGCATTGATTTCCAGAACGACTTAATGCAATAGAAATCATACTGGACCATCCCAACGTATCTATTACCGACCAAATCCGAATGAAAACTCCCTTACAATATCAGCTATTTGTTGAAGTGCAGCCTGATATCAAACAGGAGCAGAACATTGTCATGTTTTCGGGCACAGCGACGTGTGTATGGCGAAAGGAATGAAGACAATGCATGCATCCCTGCCAGTTACTGCAGCCATCAGCAGGTGGAACAATAGGACTCCTTCAGCTAATTTTCAATGAAGTTTCATGCATGCTACATTGCCGAATTAATCCCTTAATGTGTTCTGGTTGCCCCCAAAATTATATATACATCCACCATGTAAACTGATGCACGACCAGCCCATCTTTACTAAATGCTTACACATGTATAGCATACAGCAGGCAATGCATCCAGCTTGGTTCGACACACTTGCCCCATCAATTACCAAGTAAAGGATTTGATGCTGTGTCCATCCCACCCCATTTCCAGCTACTGACACAACTTACAGGCAGAGCTAGCCCACTTTGTGTGAATAGCATTCCTGATTCAGAAAAGTGAACTGCTGAGCCTGCTACAAATTCAACAACAATGTCACACATGTACATCTAACAGTCTTTTCATTTCAAGGCCACCCAGTCATCCATGACACCATAATAGCACCTTTCAAATATTGCTGTTCCATTAGCTATGCTGTGATCAATCATATCCTATTTCATGCTCATCAGCACAATTTCCAATATAATGGCAATCAAGTAGCTCTTGATGTTGTGCAATATAAACAATGCAATCAAACAATGGCATATTATGGAGCATATTTACTGCACAGAGAAATTGAGCTGTCTGAAGCAGTCTTTTCTACTTTAAGGTATACCATAAGTTATGAATTGGATTTGACTCTTGTTCCAATATTTTAAATATGGAGCTTTCCCTTTAATGTGGAAATTCTGTGCAGGTTTAATGCTGACATCATGATTAATATGCTGCATAGGCAGGTGCATCATGTTGTGTGGGCGGCACAAGATGCAGAAATCTGGTGAAGCAACAGTTATTGTGAGCTGCATGCGGAAAAATTATACACCAAGATATGCATATCTTAACAATGCCAAACTCACATATTTGCAAAAGCCATAACTCAAACTCCCTCAGGCCTAGCCTACTGCATTATGATCTCCTCACCCAATGGTACCACAAATTATCTCCAAATTGTTGCACAATCAAGATAACTGCACAAGGCATGACATATTTATGATCTCACTTTGCCTCTACCAATGCCACAAGTCACCTGGCACGGAACTTGTGTTGTATACCGGGTGCCTCCCATGTGTAAAAAGAATTCAAAACTGGTGGTAACAAATACATACCTGAAGCACGCAAGCAACTTATTAAAATGTGATAGTGCTAAATACAACACAACTAACAACTAACAAAGTGCAAGATTAAGCCTTTCTTCTTTTTTAGAATAGTGACGGTGCTATGCAGTGATGAAAACAATTTGGAATGATGCACTGCACTACCGACACCAAAATTATCCCACAGATAATTTTCTGTACCAAGGGAGAATCCCAGAAGATTTCCAGGCCATGACCAAGACCAAGGATCTTTTTTTACTACGCATAGCTATGACCACTGGCTGTCTGTGGCACACTGGAGACAAATCTAAGGGACAATTCCTGGACCAGCAAAATACCAATGGAGGATGTCTGTGGATGATTATTAGAGATAAGTATTTACCAAATACTTCCTCTCCCACAGAACATACCCAAATTGTTTTGTGGTCTGGCCACTGATTGGCATGGGGCCCACCAGCAAATACCAGGATCCCATTATTCCCTTCCAAGATTGTCTGAATCAATTAATTTTATGAATTTATGGGATAGCAGCATATACTAGACAGTGCTAACTGTGGAAACTCTGCCCCCCATTCCATCATCAAATTCCAGATCAATGGAAAAATTCATTGTGGGAATTCATTTGTCATCAAATTCATTGTTCAAAATTCATCATTCATGCTGCAAGCATCCTATAGTACTTGTTGCAGCCTGCCCTTTGACTCCTTGATATCAAGATTCTCTGCAGACTTCTATCACCAGCACCAGGTATCCCGGTTTGAGAACAAAGCAAGTCCTCAAAGTAAATCACACCTGTTCTGTCACTGGAAAGTGGCTCCAAAGATAGTTACCCAGGCAAGGACAAGCATCAACTGAGCTACTGCAATGAACAAATGCCTAACTATGGGATGAAGGATGACATGGAGTTCATCATAATATGGGGCAGAAAAACAAATGCTACTAACAGGATGGTAGCCTCTATCAAGGTCATAAGCCTTTACCAATGATAATCAAAATCTCACCTAAATACATCAGTATGTCAACTATTGTGCTTGTGTGTACCAAACTCGAGCCAGGCCATGTTGTCCTGGATTTCCAAACTATGTTTGCTTGAAAAATGTTTTCAGGGTATGCATGTTCATCTAAAATTGCACTTGCATCATCAAATTCCTAAAACATTGACTCTCGATGTCCTGACATGACCACACGCAGTAATGACGCCAGTGTCGCAGCTGGTGTGTGTGCGGCGCTCGGGAGCTCGCCATTGTAATTATAAAAAATTTGAAGGTAAGAGCATGAATCTACCTGTTTTGTGATTATTTATGATGTGTCCTGCCTTAAACACGACAAATGGTGTACAATTATTCTTTCTAACATTAGGCAGCAAAGCACACCCTGACCGTGCTGCTGTTATGCCAGACATATTCTGTGTAACGGGTACCTACTGTGATCTGACTTGCAGCCAAACTATCCCTCAATGAAATGAAAGAACATGTAGTACATAACCCACTTTAAACGAAACCAAACAGACAACCCCTTCCCCATTTGTCTACATCGGTGATATTTTCAACGTTTGCAACAAGTTCAACGGACATTTTGTTCCAAGCCTCATCAGTTAACATCGGCCAAATGAACTCGAGACCTCAGGGGAGGGGATTTCCCTCATTCCTGCATGGACTTCAGGCAGGGTTTACTGCAAAAGAATGGAACTAAGACTCTACTGTCTACTCACCCCGACGTTGTAATACTGTGAAAGCTCTATGTAGCGACTAGAAAACGCCTTTCCCTACCCCTCACAGACATCCACCAGCTCGGAGACCTGCCGGTTGCTGCCGGTGCTAGGGCCGTGGAGTACGGACCCGTGGCAATCAGCAGGGTAGTTGCGTACCGATTGCCGACGTGTACAGCTCCCAAATTGATGACGGAGACAGAGCTACCAAATTTGATAAAGAAAATCGCTCACGTCTTCTTCAGTTGGCGACAAAAAATACAACTTCGACTGAAGCGACGCAACTCAAATGTAAATACGGATACCAAAGCTGAAGAAAACATTTCCCTGCCAGCTGTTTCGAATCATTAACACCAAGGCACCTGAATTAATGAATCGTGAACTATGGTCGTTGTGAGCAAATCATGGATGAATCATAGCGCTGGAAATGTCGAGCTTTCTCCGCAACGTCACGTTAAATCGGTCGTATCATGCTAATGTGCGATATTGAAGCCCAGACGGGACATCATCGTACCGTCACAATATTGATTAGCTCACTCTAAAGCTTCAGCTAGGGACCAAATAAAACTTACGCTTCAGGGGTGTCCTTCCTATTCATTTGGGAGAAGCTTCAGCCTCCCAACTTTGCGAGGAAAGTGGGCCAAATCTGGGGAAAACCCTGCTTTTCGACATAGTTTTCGGATAGGTTGGACCATTTTTTCAGTTACCCCCGCCAGCTCATTTTGTGAAGCTACGTCCTGCCACGTTTGCACGATCGCAGGACCTGAAAGGCTGGGATGCTGAGCCCAGAGGAAGGTGAGGGGGGGGGGGGGAAGGCGCTCCGGTATCCTTAGCTTTATAACAAGTGTCACTGCTTCTAAACCTATGCTGCGAATTTCATCGCCAATATAAGCCTGTGATTGGTCAGAAGAAGTAGCATCTTCACAGCTTTCAGTTCCGTTAAATACCGGTTGCCATGATGGTTAACCACGAGACATGCGTATATATTCCAGCACCCAGTAAAATCGCACTGCAGGCAAAAATGTTCTGCAAAGCTACCAATCTAGAGAGGTTTGTAAACCGCGCTTTCAGAACCTACTGTTGTACCCAGGATTGGTTCACAAAAGAATACGCATGTCGAGCACGGAAGTGGCATGGGTGGTACACCTGAGTGTCGTATAGACATCATTAAAACGGAACGGAAAATACACAGCGCGAGTTTATTTTGAACACATTCGGCTCCTGGAGAGCCGGATGTGTGCCACCTCTGGGGCAGGGGACGGCGCCCAAACAAGGACGCGATAGACGGGGGGGGGGGGGGGCTTAGGGGCAGCTCGCTCCCTCCCCCAACTTGAGAGCTGTGGGGGGGGGGCATGCAAAAGTTAATTCCGGCCAGTCAAAGGCTCATTCTGGGCTAACAATGGTTCCTTCTGACCAAAAAAGAGCAATTCTGGGTGTAAAGAAGGCCCACGCTAGCCTGCAGAAGCTAATTCTGATCCGTGCACGGCCCATTATTGACTGCGGTGGGCTCATCCTGGCCTGTAGAGGGCCCATTCTGACCTTAAGAGGGATCATTCTGGCCTTAAGAGGGTCCATTCTGGCCTGTGGATTGTACATTTTGACCCGAAGGAGGTCTGCTATTACTGTCGAGAGTTTAACTCTATTCTGACTTGTAGAGGGCCCATTCTGGCCCGTAGAGGCCCACAATGTAATCTAAGAGGGCTCATTTTGATTTTTTGGAGTTTCCTCCCAACCCCAACATGGATCCTGCGCCCCTGCACCCAAATCCCCCTTGGCTACATCGCTGTTGGTTGCACGCGTAAGCGCGCGGCACTAGGCAGTGCACCGCAGGGCTGGGCTGGGGCTGGGGCTGCGGCTGCTTCTGCGGCTGGGCCTGGGCCTGGCACTGCGGCTGGGGTTGGGCCTGGGACGGCGGCTGGGCTTGGGCCTGGTACTTCGGCTGGGCGTGGGCCTGGGACGGCGGCTGCGCCTGGGCCTGTGGCTGCAGCTGGGCCTAGACCTGGAACTGCGGCCAAGCTTGGGACTGCGAACGGTCCTTGGCCTGAGATGCGGCTGAGCCTGGGCCTGGAATTGCGGTTGGGGCTGGGGCTGGGGCTGAGGCTGGGGCTGTGGCTGGGACTGGCGCTGGCGCTGGGCTGGGGCTGGGCATAACATGGCCAGAGGCCGCTGATTTTGAGAAGGTAGGGTGCAGTTACCACTGCCAAATTCGGACAACATTTGACACGTTTTTTTACACGAAAATATCAGCACGTTTTTGTAGATCGTCACTCAAATTATAAGTTTCAGAAAAGATGCCTCCTTGACATCTTACACGGCTTTTGGGCCTTCATGGCAACGTTCTTATCGCCATGCATGTCATTCGTCTAGCGACGTCCTTGGTACAGTTAAACGGTAAACGAGCTGCCAGTACGATGCCGCCCAGACTTCAGCGGTGGCAGTGTGACAGGCAGGGCAGTGCCTGCTCCAGCGAAAGCAGCTGCGGGTCTAGCTGCAAGCAGTAGTGATTTCGTAACGTAATCAGTTAGTTCATATATTCATTCTGGGTGAGTACCTACAGCTGCAATCAAGGCATTTGTGCACGTTCCTCTCACACAAAGCTCTCAGAAATACTGTGGGGGTCGGAGGCGGGGAGGGTGACCTACGACCCGGTAAACCTAAAATTGTGAGGTCTGGGGAGGGGGGGGGGGGGGTGGAAGCCGCGAGGTAAGTCATTTTTGGGCTCGCGCGGTGTAAACAAAACTGATCATACGAAATGAAAATAGCCCAAAGAGTAATCGCACTGTCGAGGCAAAAGTTGACAATTCCATCGCCGGAACTGTCTGGCAGTTTCACGATTTCACCCCTCATCTTGGCTTCCTGGTAGACATCATCTGGCCGTCCCGGGCCCCTCTGGCCTTTCAGTGTATCCTTCCTGGTCACCAGGGCTCCTAGAGGCACTCTTAATGCCCACCAAAGGCATTCCACGCGCACTTTAAAGGCCCAGAAATCATATATGCTCTAAACCTCTATCAGGGCCTCCAAACGCTTAGGAGCCTTTTAGCGACACAGGACCTTTTTGGCTGCTGAGAGGCAGCTCGCTCGGGGCCCGCTATATTCTTACAATAACCCTCTGAGTGATGGTGCATTTTTTTAGCTGCACGGAACAGTTTTGCTGTAAAGGTCATCCGGTTACCAAGGGCACCCCAGTTATTTTCAAAAGCGTCAGTCTCATGCATGACCCTGTTCAGGTGCAGTGCAGCAGGGGAAGGGGGTGCAGAGGGGGCAAGAGTACGTTTTTGCCCCCGCCCCCGCAAAAAGATGGAAGACCCCCTTTGCACAAGTCAACGTTCACGTTCATTACCAAAATTCCGACTGAGGAGGACTTCATGGCTGAGCTAGAGGGTGCTAAATTGGGCTCCAAAGACTTTTCTGCATCAAGAGACTCGTTCGATGGATCATGGACCACCTTTATGAATTAAGTATCCCATTCTCTAGATTAGGGGACCCAGTATTGTGTTAAGGAAATCCTTTACTGGCTTGGAAGGTAGGTGTTGTAAACTAGGAGGCCCCACGATGAACTAGGAGGCCTTGCGATGAGCTAATGAGCCCCGTTATGGACTAGGAGGCCCTTTTATGGGCTAGAAGAAGCCCATTATGAATTAGCAGGCCTCGTCATGAGCTAGGAGGCCCTTGTTTTGAGCCAGGAAGCCTTTGTTGTGAAGTAGGAGACCCTCGTTATGAACTCAGACGTCCCTGTTATAAAGTAGGACGCACTCGTTATGAACTAGGAGGCCCCAAATATGAACTACGAGGCTCTGGTCATGAATTAGGAGATCTCCTTTATCAACTAGGAGGCACCTGTCATGTCCTACGAGGCTCCGTTTTGAGCTAGGATGCCCATTATGAACCAAGAGGCCATGTTTTAAGCTAGTGGGCACTATGACATAGGAGAACCCGTTATGAACTAAGAGGCTCCCATCTTGAACTAAGAATCCTCCGTCATGAGCTAGAAGGCCCTGATGTGAAGCAGAAGGCCATTATTATGACCTAGGGGGCTCCGTTATGAAAACGGAGGCCTCCGTTATGAACAAGAATGCCCTATCATAAATTATGAGGCCTCTTTATGAACTAGAACGTCCCTGTTATGAACTCGGAGGCCCTTTTTCTAGATAAGGAGACGCCTTGTATACATCAAGAAAACCTTTTCTGAAACAAGAGCACGCTTTCATGCACAGTAGGCCCACAGCCAGACCAAACCATCAGAGAGTGCAAAAGTAAACCAACAAAAACGTGGATGCTATTTGTAAACACGATATATATGTCTGTTTCTGGTACAACGTTATTTCCGGCTTAACCACTTCTGCTTGGAGTGAATTTTAAACACCTCAAGTAGGCTGGGCCGCCTGGGGCTGCCAAGGCAGGAGTAAAAACCCAAGAAAGCATTGTAAAAGCCTTGTGCCACCATTGCTACGTGGCGCATGCTAGATGCAGACAAAATATGGAAACATCAGGCCAAAACAAACGAAAAACAAAAGAAAGAAAGAAACGGGGGCCAATAATATGATATTTTAACAAGGTAAAATCTTTGGGAACTGCTTTTTACGGGGAGCGTCTTGCGCCAGCATGCGTGTTGGTTACTAGCAAATTTAGTCAATACCATTTATAGATGGCATTAGCTTTTCCCATTATGCCTTTCTTCTGGTACTCCTTGTACCAAGGTCGGCGAGGTTAAAAAGGCCCTAGAGGTCACGCACCAGCCTAAAAATCCGCAGTTGTATAAGAAAAATGTGATTATAATCGGACAGATTTGCTTCTAAATACGTGGGCACTTGCTGTATGGATGTGTGGATGAATATGCAGATGAAAAGCGGTCGTACAGACGCCGGATTCCGTTACCGCCACTCTATTTGACACTATGCGGCTGTTGGTGTTCATTCCTAGTCAGACTTACATTTTTACGTCAGATTACGTCAGACCACAATGAGTCAAGGGATGTTCGCGTCATGTCCCTGACTTTCGAAATTGTCATTGGTAAGCATTGGCTGCAACCGTGTTCTGTCGGCTCGGCAGTTTTACGTCCTTTTCTGAACTGGATCACGTATGACGCATGGTCATCGCGGAGAACGCCTTTTTTGCAAATTCAGTACCGGATCACTGAAATATTTGTCGTGTTACGGCGCCCATGAGACGAGAAAATTGCATTGTATCCTCAACGAAGCTAAAGGAAACGGTCCCTGTTGATACACAGATGGCGAGTGCAATTATTTGGTACATACACTTGAAATTTAGTATTCCGACTAAGAAGTACATTTGCAGTTTTTATATATGGGATTAACGACCGAGGTGATGTAGTGACCGAAATAATAGGAAAATTGTGATAAAAATAGAAGATGGCACAGCATAGGCAATTGCAGAGTGGACCACCTAACGGGTAGAATTTTCCTCACCAAATCCATCCGCTACTCCTAGGACTGTGCTCACTCTTGGTGACTTAACGGATAATATTTTGCTAACCCAATCCGCTCTTTACCCTTGCGACTATGCACGCACTTGGCTCCTAACCAGCGCTGACCAGTTATGCTCACCTGATACCCACTGTTCTGCTTTTTTCCAGGTATTTCAATGCATGCGCACATTATGTACACCATGGAAGACTTTTAGGAACGCTTACATCCCAACATATCCTGTCGTGAGAGTAATTACAAAAGTGGTGTAAATGAAACGAATGTCTAAATAAGGCGCAAACAGTACCGTTGTGTAGTATTTCCTGGAAAATTTACCCAACATTTCGTACAGTCTTACCAATGTCGGTGCATATGTTTTCCCAAAATCCATGCCGACCCATGCCAACTGTTACCTATATCACGTGGGTACCTATGGCTTTATCCGACCCGTGAAGTCCTTAAGTCCACACCAACCCGTTACCCTTCCTTCCTTATACCTACACATTATCCACCAACTGAATTTTGTTTTGCCGTACGTAACCTCTGCATTATGGGAAAAGTTCAGAAACATTTCCGTCTGTCCCGCTAACTCCGTTGGTTTCAGCGTCCACCTCCTGATTCATTCATCAGTGGCGAGTTGGGTTTGATTCGCTTTATGCATTTGTCATTTGCCTCTGACTGGGATGTCCCGTGCCATGCGGCGGCAGCCACATGGCACAGTACATAAGTTCAGATGACGTTAAAGGGCTGGACTGAGCGCTTGTGCAACAACACTGCTTAGTGCGCACGCTGATCTGAGAATCACACCATATCAAAGGCTTTGGATTATAGGACTTTATTGGACTTTGGCTGACTTCCCCTATACTACATAGCAGCAGATCTGGTGACACTGTAAATCGTATGTGAATGTTGATCATAATCTAGCGTGAAACATTCGGTTGCTGCCACTTTAGCTGCAACAGCTCCAATATCACGTGCTTCTTACGAATGTTTGACAGCATTTTATGATAAAAAGTAAAGCCCCATCAGCACAAACATTCATTTAATTACTCAAAACGCAAAAACGACTAATGATACAGGGTTTACGATTGGTAACATGAAACTTGGAATAAGCCAAGTGCTGCCTCGAACGTTTTTCCGTCACGATTGTTACAGATCTAAACGCAAGCAAGAGTTTAGGGAAATCGTCGTGATGCCCTATGCCTTAAGTACAGGGTTGCACGCAGCGAGGCCGGCAACGCGTCCCACCTCCCAGAGTATGCGTGGGCACTCAGCGCACCCAAGGCCGGGGAGAGTATTGTCGTCGAACCGTTCAGATCTCGCATCCATGAACACCATTTCCAAATAACGTGGACGTAGATTGGCTCTCAACCGAATGTTGGGCAAGCTATGCAAGCTTCAATCACGAACCCGGTGTGGTGTTACATAGTCATAAGTACATAAGAAATTGGCATGGCTGCTTCACTTGCTAGTTATTACGGAACTATGACCCGTAATCAAATGACGTAAGGATAGCGTCGGGCATGTGAATTCAAGTAAGCGTGTTCATTCCATGGATTTATTTGCAGGAACACCTCGAGACAGGACCAGAACACGAGCACATAACGATACTTTCCTCGGCGAATACTAATTTGCATGCGTATCTGAAGTTCTTGCATACCTTACGGAAAAGTTTTATCACTGCTTTGTCATCGCAGAGTTAATTATGCTTTGTCTCTCAGTGCGAATGCTTTGCTGGGGCATAGCCTAACTGCAGTAGTTATACAGTGCCCGTCTATGACAGGGTTTCACGTTGTTTTGTGATCAGAATTTCATTCGCTAGTGAGGTCGCAAACGATCCACTAGCCCCTGTCTTGAGTGGCATGCTGAGTGTAGAACCTCCCAAACAGCATGCCTGACGCACACACCCGGCAGGCAGAGAGGCTCTCACAAGATCGCACACTGACCGACTGCCATCGTTGAACTCCGTTTCGTATCAGATTGAAGATGCTTCGCACAGCTGTTACATCGATGCGTGACGTATTGTGCCGGCGGCTGTCAGCAAGTTCTGTGACGTCGCTTCGAAACTCCTCTACCATCGCCGAATTCGAAAACACCAGAACAATGACCATCAGAAATGGTGAGAAGGTACGTACGCGATGATGTGTGTGTGTGTGGGGGGGGGGGGGGGGGAGGATTCCCTCTGTTTTGGACGGCCACAGTGCACGATGTCTGCGTTTGACGCCATAGTCAACTCAGCAGCCAGTACAGTAACCTTAAGCCACCACACCAGCCTTGTGTGACAGCCCGTTAGAGAAGCGGCTGGCAGGCTGCAGCGCGGCTATCTCCTGCTAGTCTGTGGCTCCCGGTTCACCCATTGTCATAGTCATAGTCGACCATTTTACACAGGATCCGATATCGTTGGCTTTTTATACTCGCACATCGCGTTATACCTAAACGTAGATTAATGCATCACATGCACATATATCACTCCTCATTTCGAACACACTATCTACTACGCATGTCTAGTCGCGATAGTCTAGTTTAGCCAGGATCAGAACGCGAACTGTTCATGTACGTGTGCGCTGATGTGTGCTCGTGCGTTTGTGTGTCCTACATGTGTCCCCCTCTTGCACGCTCTTTGTGCATGTGCCGTGAAGAAGTATGCATTGCCTTTCAGATGAGATCATTAATGTGCTGACTAGGGGGACTGATAAAAGCTTTTGACAGAGAATGTTTCACACGAATGAAGGCTATCAGGTTATCACTACACGTGAACACGGCATGGTTGACATGATCTATGATCTTTCCATGACCTTTCGGGCTGCCACTGCATGTAGACACGGCATGGTTTACATGATCTACAAGGGTCCTAAAGCGATCCATACGCAAATCAAGTTTGTTTTCGCCTTTTGACCGGCGGACTTTGGTGCCGGCAGACGCGAGCCTTCTACTCCGACGCCGAGGTGGAGTCCCGAATCGCCAAGCTGAGGTGTCAAATGGAGCAGAGCGGGATGGCCGCCTGCGTTCTCACGTCCCGTCACAACATCTGCTACTATACAGGTCTGTGCAGGCAGGTAACACACGCTGGCTATCGTCCTCACGTCCCGTCACAACATCTGCTACTATACAGGCCTGTGCAGGCAGTTAACACACGCTGGCTAGCGTTCTCACGTCCGGTCACAACATCTGCTGCTATACAGGCCTGTGCAGGCAGGTAACACACGCTGGCTAGCGTTATCACGTCCCGTCACAACATCTGCTACTATACAGGTCTGTGCAGGCAGGTAACACACGCTGGCTAGCGTTATCACGTCCCGTCACAACATCTGCTACTATACAGGTCTGTGCAGGCAGGTAACACACGCTGGCTAGCGTTCTCACGTCCCGTCACAACATCTGCTACTATACAGGCCTGTGCAGGCAGGTAACACACGCTGGCTAGCGCTCTCACGTCCCGTCACAACATCTGCTACTATACAGGTCCGTGCAGGCAGGTAACACACGCTGGCTAGCGCTCTCACGTCCCGTCACAACATCTGCTACTATACAGGTCCGTGCAGGCAGGTAACACACGCTGGCTGTAACAGCCGTCAGGTCACAGAACACGTGCTTTTTTCTGGGACGGATCTTTAATCCAATTCCATGCTGTACATGGCTTATTGCTAAAACCACATTGAAATCACGATCTCTTTATTATAAAGCGTCCTCAGCAGATTTTTCTCTTCTGTCCCGTTCTAAATAGGACGGAAGGATCTTTGCCGCGTTATGCGACTACACGACTGTCCGCCGCCCTGTAACCTGGCTAACACTCTCAAGGCAACAACCAAATGGCCCTCGTTGACGAGCCACACGTGCACATTTATTTTGGAAGGTGAATCTACCCCACGCGTTTCTCCAAGTCAGCGCATTTGTGTATTTCCAGTTGAAACAGTTCCTCGTTACTCTCAGCCTCACACAATTACTGGTCGATGTGAAATGTTCATTATGTGTCGTTAAGCACAAATAAGTGTTATCGATTGTCTGATCACAATTGTCGATCGATCTTGCTGATCACAATTGTCGATGCCATTACATAAGCGAATTGAAAATGTGGTATGACGCCAAATTCAGACCGACATTTCTGCCTACCGTAACTTAGATAAAAATCGTAGCTTAGATACAGTACTGTTTTACACGGTGGGAGCTGCGATCTAAGTCCAAGGACGAAAAATGATTGGAAGTAGAATGAGTTACTTAAATGGCTTGGCACCCAAACCTCATAACTGGGTCCGTTAATGTAGCCGGACGTGTACCGCCTCAAAGAAACAAGACATATGTGTTTGCGGTATGGAGAAGTGCACATACCAACACTAGAATACTCCTATGATGTATATATATATATATATATATATATATATATATATATATATATATATATACCCTCGTGACATGAAGTCGTGTTTGCTCGTACCACTAGCTAACACGAAATTGCTGAGCGGATAAACGATGTGATGAACATTACACAGCTATGGCCAGGAGACACGCAAAGGTTTGAGAGGCTAAACTGAAAAGCTCATGAGTAAGGGAATGACCGAAGTCCTCCATGACTAGCCCTATCATCATCCACCACAACTAGAAACACGTGCCGCCGTCCATGGCCGCAATAAAAGCGTGCCTTCGGCGCCCTAAGGCGGCCTCTAGGTGTGACGCGCTTACTTTTCCATCAGAAGGGGCACGTGCATCCTCCGTTCTCTAGATCCGCCCCTGTAGGACTGTTATGCTGCCGAGATTAAAGGCTTTCTTTTAATGGTACAAATATTTACCACATAAACTGCCCTTCGCCAAAAAAAATTGGGCTGGATCCGTTGAGACCAAAATGAAGGGGCTAGTTTGTCGGGCCTTCGGCTCACCTCTCCCCCAATCATTTATAAAAATTGACACCATTATCCCAAGTTTGATTTGAGAGGCAAGAACAAAAGAACCATAACCATGACTCTAATTGATGCGGAGGAACCAACATCAAGAGAGCTAATGGAACTCAAAAACCAGGGCGTGCATTTTGCGAAGGGACCAGTGTTGACCGAGAACTGATGTTGGGAACCAGGCACATATCGGTAAGGGCCATATCCATATTTGCTACGTACGGATCTATAAAGCCAACTTGTGCATGGTATATGCGCTACACAACATTTCTGCACGCATTATCACCTTTGATGTTGGCGAACCCTAAAAACTCAAATCATCATCTCCATCATCGTCCCACAACATCTCGTACTGCACAGGTCGGTGGAGTCACACATCAAGCACTGTCCACCAGTATCTGGCACTGCGTGGCTAAAAACAGCCACTGTTTCCGTGTTATGTTGGTCTTTCGAGTTACAGCGCATCTGCTGGCAGCTGCGTATGGAAATAAACTTATCTGTGAGGTCCAATTTCTTACTGCACTGTTTTGCAGCTCCACATCTGCGTATTTTGGCATCCTACATAACTATATAGCCAGGGCCTGTGCACATATCATCACCTCATCTGGTATTTTATATATACCAGATGAGACCAGATGACGAAGACGAGACATACATGCTAGATGACTGTTGGGCCATGCAATACCTGATTTGTCACTCGAATGCTATGTACCAGTCGCTTGCACTAGCTCAGCATACCACCGCACTGGCTGCCTGCGGGTGGCCAACAGAGCTCGTCCCTATGTTTGGCCGCGCCTGGGCGGCGCTGAGCGTGCCCGTCAGCTGGATCTCCGCCTGCTCAGAATGCCAGTCAATCAGCCGGCCAGTCTGTCCGGCAGCGGTCATGGCGCCGCGTGCCAGACCTCCGTCGTCAGCCGACTATACATGTTGACCCGTGTGGTTAGCAGGCGGGTTCATCTACTGCGCGTTCGGCCGTCCGTACGGCCTGGTGGTGACGCCCGACAACCACTGCACCGTCTCTGCCCTCATCGACGGCTCACAGCCCTGGCGCAGGAGCCCGCACGTGAGTCACAGTCCTGGCGCAGGAGCCCGCACGTGAGTCACAGTCCTGACGCAGGAGCCCGCACGTAAGTTACAGTCCTGGCGCAGGAGCCCGCACGTGAGTCACAGTCCTGGCGCAGGAGCCCGCACGTAAGTTACAGTCCTGGCGCAGGAGCCCGCACGTGAGTCACAGTCCTGGCGCAGGAGCCCACACGTAAGTTACAGTCCTGGCGCAGGAGCCCGCACGTGAGTCACAGTCCTGGCGCAGGAGCCCGCACGTGGGTCACAGCCTAGGTCAGCTAACGGATCTAGAGCGGAAGCCAGTAAGCGGGTTTTAGTCCTACGGTGGGAGCCAGGAGGGATTTCTATCCACTGGAGTCACAAACCACACATGAGGTCCAGTTCTGGTAGAGAAATCCCCTCAGGAGCTCTGGTTCTAATGAAAAAGTCTTCTCATGAGGTTCAGGATTGACGTGGGAACGCGCACTAGATCCTCTATAACATGGCGTAGAAAGCAAAACGTCAATGTAGCCTTGCCAATGATTTTGTTTTTTGCCGTGAGCTTCAGTACTGTCGAAGGAGTCAGTTTTGTGATTCTCAGTCCAGATCCAAGACTTGATCATAAACTCAAATCTTAGCCTAGGGCCCTACTATTGATCTCTAATCATCCTGGCTTAGGACCCCACTCAAGAGCACCAACCTCCAATTCATCCAATTTCATTCAATCAACAGTTCTCCCACACTGGAGAACTCCAAATTCAGCCCCAAACTCCGACTCCTCATGACCCAGAAACCCTCCGAACAGTTATAAGTCTATTAAATTCTAGCACCTAGCCAGCTTGTAAGCTCCAGCTGGAGTCAAGGAGTAGACGCATGAGGTCTGCAGTCCTGGAATATGACGCGTGGCTGTCAAGCGATATAACACTAGGAGCTAACCAGTCCAGCACATACTGCTGTAGCAACAAAACAACCTCGACCATGATCCAAAACCAGTTTTGCTGTTTTATAAAATGTATGCGAAGCAATCATGTGTGTTTAAGTTGTAATAGCATCTCCTGCCGTAAACCTACATTGAAACCGATGCGCTTGCCTAACTGTCCGGCGCTAGGAGTGTGATATGAGAGCGCTTGCCTAACTGTCCGGCGCTAGGAGTGTGATATGAGAGCGCTTGCTTAGCTGTCCGGCGTTAGGAGTGTGATATGAGAACGCTCAGTACCTTAATTCTGGAAATCACCGTCTCGTTTCCTCCGCAGGACAACGTCATCTACACCGATTGGAAGCGTGATAATTTCTTCTACGCTGTCAGTCAGCTGCTGAGGGATGTTAAGGGCGATGTTGGCATCGAGTTTGACGACGTTACCTTGGAAAGAAATGCGAAACTAGCCAACTGTATGCCACATAACAATAAACTAGTGGATATTGCTGAAACAACCATGCGCATGCGCATGATAAAATCCCAGGAGGAAATAGACGTTATTAAGGTAAGGCTGTTGGGTTTTATCTTACTTTAGGTCACGTTTCCGAACACGTGATGGTTCTCTCCAGACTGGTCAGTGCTTACCAACGGGTTAACTACTCCTGGAGTGATAAATAACGTAAGAAAAGTGCAAGAAACGTGATGGTAAGAAGCAAAACAAGACATGTTCAACAATGCTGAACAAGGCTCTGAGGTGACAACAGGCACGTTGCTTGTGTTCCACTAAAAGAATGGGGGCAAGAGCTTCTCAGAGTAATAGTCATTGTTCAGGGCCTGTAACACATGATAGACATCCTCGCGTTTCATGTAGCACATATCAGCACATACATGCAACCCAATACTGAAGACTAATTTCATTTCATTCGGTCTCCTAAGGCCCACAGTTGTCCACCAGTGTGACCTCTGCATGACAACCTATCAAATAAAAATGCCTGGCAGTTTCCAACCGGTGACTGACGCCACCAATCTCCCACGAGAAGCGATCGTTTTTATACACGTGTGGCTTCGGGCAACCCACACGAGCATTACAGTACGCACGACCCCGCAGCCTGCCAACGGGTGTGTGTGATAGCCAAGAGCCGTGAACCGCTGTGTGTCGAACTCAGTCCTGAAACACGCTCTGTTCGCACCTCTCGCGCGGCCGGTTCACAGAACAGTGCTGCCACCTGCGACGTCGGCGGGTACGCCATCCGCGACGCGCTGCGGCCGGGCGTTCAGGAGCACGAGATGGCGCTGGTGGGCACGGCAGCGATGGTCCGCAATATCGCCCGCCTGTACCCGGACAGCGAGCTGATGGACAGTGAGTGGGCACTGCCCCGTTGGTGTGAAATGCCTGGCGTTGGCAGTGCCAGTATCAGATGACGTGGTTATACCATATGGTGTATACGGAATTATGAAATGTCCATCATCATTTGATTGCGAATCCGGCTCGTCGTCGGCGTGGTCAAATCGCCAGGTGGTCAATCGCCCCGTGACAGCCATGACTGCCAGTGTGGTTGTGCCCATGGTTTTAAAATAAATCCGAATGACTTACAGGGCTGTTAATGCCAGGTCCTATAAATTTTAGCCCTGCCTAGTTTTGCTAAATGTGGTAAATATAACCATTTCCTGGTGACTGCTTTAGACTGTGCTATGCTTTCTGTTGTTATACCAAACGCATTCGCGTGACAGTCAGTCCCTGCTGAAATAGTTCGCGGAGTACACAGCTACCTTATTCATGAAAGCATGGCTTCTGGTCACCTTTTCAGAGGCTCACTACGTCTTGATCTCTAACCTGTTGCAGCCTGGGTCTGGTTCAACACAGGCGTGAACAGTGACGGCGCCCACAACCCCAACACGACCCGAGCTGTCGTCCCTGGAGACGTCATCTCGTGTAACACCTTTGCCATGCCCCAAGGGTACGTATCGGCGGTGCCGCATCCCTTACTCGCGCTCTTCGGCCGTCGCCCTGCTACCGATGATAACCTCTCGTCTTTTCATGTAGTTCCAAAAGTGAGCTTTATATTTTGCCCCTAATTGGATGACTGTATTTTGTAGCAATAGCAGCCAAATTATTCAAACCTTTCTGAAATATATCAGGCGTCTGCTGTTATCTAATGCGCAGAATGGCCACCGTAGTATAATATCCCATAATACCCGAGGTCAGATGAAACATGTACTCACGAGTTATGGCGATGCCTTTAAGCTCGAACAATATTTCACTCGCGTGTGGACATCAAAAGTAACATCCGAGCCGACTGTCATAGATTTTGACTAGCAGCGGCGATATTATAGAAGGCAGGTTAGACCATTTGATCGCCGAAATTTGACCCGAACGTCTTCACGGCAGGACTGAAACCCCAGCAATATTCTATTTCATTAACAACCACGTTCCCTGTGGCGATCAGACATTACACAGCACTCGAGAGAACTATGTTTCTGGGGCACTGTCCAGACGACTGCCTCGACATCTGGCAGAAAAATGTCAAGATCCACGAACACGGCATACAGCTCCTGAAGTGAGTACACGAATCTGCGTTTCTGGTCATGGTGTGATGACTGCAATGCCTGTCACGAGGCCGCGCCTCATACCTTTAACTGAGACCTTAGCAGGTGCTCAATCAGCGGGTCGAAGACCCCTTGTTCAGCTGTTATCCACGCAAAGCTTCCGGCTTGGCTCCGCCCAGTAATGTCCCTTCACACTTTCAACCTTACTAATGTTGGCAATGTTTTTACACATCCTGTGTTCCCCTGGCTCTGTCATACTGGCCAAGCATGGCGAGGTCCCTTTGCACTCGGCGTTGTCTAGACACAGCCGTGCTTTCCAGGTCTGGTAGCAGCAAGGCCCTCTCGAAGCCCGTATTTCGTGGACAGAGCCACACTTGTGGGTCCGGTTTCATTAAAGTCCCTCTTGGTGTGTGTTGTCATTACCCAGCCATGCTTGACAAGCCTTTGTAAATCGCCTCCAGAGCCTGTGTTGCTTTAAAAGTAAATACAACTACTTTTTCCAGGAACAGAAAGGTCCTTGACAACCTTCGCTTCCCTGACGCAGCCGTGTCTGCCGGACCGAGTAAAAGTAGCATATCTTCTCCGTCTGCGGCGCCCTGTGACAGCCGTGTCTGCCAGACCGAGTAAAAGTAACATATCTTCTCCGTCTGCGGCGCCCTGTGACAGCCGTGTCTGCCGGACCGAGTAAAAGTAGCATATCTTCTCCGTCTGCGGCGCCCCGTGACAGCCATGGCTGCCAGACCGAGTAAAAGTAACATATCTTCTCCGTCTGCGGCGCCCTGTGACAGCCGTGTCTGCCGGACCGAGTAAAAGTAGCATATCTTCTCCGTCTGCGGCGCCCCGTGACAGCCATGGCTGCCAGACCGAAAAAACATTAACATACGTTCTCAGCCTGTGGTGCCCCGTCACAGCCATGCCAACCAGACTGAGTAGCAGCAATATATCCTCTCATCCTGAGATGCCCCGTCACAGCCATGTCTGCCGGACCGACTAGCATTAACATACGTTCTCCTCCTGTGGTGCCCCGTCACAGCCATGTCTGCCAGACCGACTAACACTAGGATATCTTCTCCGCCTGCGGCGCCCCGTCACAGCCACGTCTGCCAGACCGAGTAACATTAGCATACGTTCTCAACCTGTGGTGCCCTGACACTGCTGTGCTTGCCAGGCCCGGTAAGAAGTGCAGCGAGGTGGCGCACGAGCTGAACGACCTGTGCGCCCAGCTGGGAGTGCTCCAGTACCGCTCGTTCGGCTACGGCCACAGCTTCGGTGTGCTCTGCCACTACTACGGACGGGAGGCCGGTAAGATGGCCACTTATCCAGGCAACGGACTGTCGGCAGAATACTCTGCATCTTGAAAAATGTATCTGTCCTAGACCAGCCACAATAACCCAAAAGCATTTACTATGTGGCAACTGGAAGTCCAGTGTTAATGTGTGGTCCCGTCACATTTCCCGGTTATAAGCGGTACCAACTTTTCACTTTTTTGAGGGGTTCGAGCCCCATTGCTACGGGACCTTAACGTGGCACATGCGAGTGTGGTGTAGAAAGAATAGAGCAAAAAGCCAGATGTACCCCGCCCACACACACGCAGACACACGCACATTAACTTGAAATAGTTCTCACTCTGGTCTCGATCTCAGTTTATACCTCACGACGGTATTCAGGTGGCAGGAAACAGTGCGCAGTGCATGCCTCGCTCTCCAAAGTGACTCAGTGAGAATCACCACTAGCTTAAACCAGGCTGCTAATAATTGTAAACGTGAATTTATGCGAAGGTGCACATGTATCCAACAGCCGTTCCACAAAAAAACTATAACGCGGTTGGCAGTTCCCGTACTGTAGGTCTCCATTCTCTATTATGGATGCACAAACTGCAGCAGAAAGCATGGAGAGAAGGTGCAAACCAGTGAACGCTCCAAAATACATTTTGTATATCAAGTAGTCGCTAATGATACGCAGTTTGACCCGGTCTGCTTTAGCCATGCCATTCTGTCGGCTGCCAAGGTTCGTCGTTGAGGCGGGTCGGTTGCATGTCTCCTTTAACGCGTGGTGTCCGCTGTGGGCAGGTCTGGAGCTGAGGGAGGACATCGACACGGTGTTGGAGCCGGGCATGGTGATCTCGATGGAGCCGATGCTGATGGTGCCCAGCGGCCAGCCGGGAGCGGGCGGCTACCGCGAGCATAACATTGTGGTGCTGCACCACGACGGCACCACTGAGGACATCACAAAGTTCCCTTATGGCCCGGAGCACAATATCATTCAACATTAATGAGAGGTGGTGTCCAGCACTTTTATGAGTTAGCTTTTACTAGAACGGGCAGCGGCAATTATTATTCCTGAGCCGGTTTCGCTCCCCAAAACACGGAACAACAAAAATATTAACGCTTTCTTCTTTGTCTACAGTTCCCATACAGTGAGGATAGCAGTCGACACAATTAGAGTCGACTGTGCGGCTTTCGTCTCCCATTGGGCCTGTGGTACGGTAAAGCTGTTTGCAGAATTGTTAGCTGGTAGGGGGGGGGGGGGGGTAAGAAAAAACTAACAGTAAAAGCCATGATGCGAGATGGATCAGGTAATAATTTTAAGACCTCTAACTCGCCGTGGGCCTAGTCCCTTTAAAGAGTCTGTACCTAAACACCATGTGATTCGAGCTGAGACCCAATAGGTCCAATCCCTTTACTGGCGTGAGGTCTACTGAAGAGCTCTTGAATTAAATGCATTACAACTGTGATGTAGTCTCCTCATTCATTCAGTAGCTCCAATTTACCGGCAGTTCATCTTGACGCTTCACTAATTCGGCAAGGTGCGACATAAGTATGGGCTCTGCGGGAGGTACGCATGCGACAGTGGCAATTCCATTGTGATATTGCTTTAGTCCTTGGCGTTATGGTCCGAGACAACTCACCAAATTCAGTTTGGGCTTTGTTGGGTCGAAAAGACACTTTTCGAACTAAGAACTCTATTCCCGCTCAGGGACGCAAGGTTAGCAAACTCTTCGGTGGGCCCAATCCCTTTCGTAGTTGCCTCATTTATATGGTAGATTATGCTAAGCAGTACCTCGTGGATCTTTGAATTGTATGTTTCCGCAATGCTCCACTACAATGGGTTCATTTGTAGCTTTAGGCCAATGTTTGTTGCTGCCACCTCCCTTTGCACGTTATCTATCCTTCTTGTTAAGCTTTTTATATGCAGTGCTGATTATATCTATGTTTAGGTAGCGTGAGTTGTTTGGTTTGTGGATTACCTGGTTGATTTGTGTAAGCATTGGTGTACTGATCATGACTCTAATGTTTGAGCATTTGGAATGTGGAAAATGAAGATATTGATCACTTTTCTTGGAGAGACGGTGGTTGTGCTTCTCTCTGTTGAACGTGTGCAAAGGGCGGCATGTTTGTTTTTTACTCTGCCTTACCAAGGAAATGATAACGCATAAAGGCCATAATCGCAACTGCCACAAGCTTCAGTGGTGTAAATGGCTGAGTTCTTTCTCCGATGGTGGCGACAGCTCCGCTAACCGGACAGAAACGTCATCAGTGTTGACGTCATCACTTGACACAGGTGGCGCGGCGGTGAAACACGGAGAGAGCTGCCGAGCGGCTGCCTGCCGCTCTGTCCGTAATCTGCGGGAACTCCCCCCCCCCCCACCCCCCCCCCCCCCCCGATCCCCGCCGTCCGAATCAACGGCCGACCCGCCCTCGGTATCTGCTTTTGTGTTTCATTGGCATGTGAACAGTCCCCACCGCGCCCGGTTACAATTGTGAATACTAACGATCATCAAGTGCGCGTCATTCGACCAGATGGGATAATTAACATATAACATGGTGGCAGTACAAAATTGTAGTCCAATTCACCTGTTTAGACGGCTACCCTATCAATTAACGTTCGCTTTGCACACAACCCTGGCAACAGGGACATAAAACATGATCGTTTAGCCTCACGCAATCGCTCCACGCGTTGCTAATGCTGCCGTCTCCCACTCCGACCAGACCACCTGTTAACTCGCGGCTGCCACACCAGCAGACCGCCTGTCACCTCGCGGCTGTCCCACCAGCAAATCACCTGTCACCTCGCGGCTGTCCCACCAGCGGATCACCTGTCACCTCGCGGCTGTCCCACCAGCAAATCACCTGTCACCTCGCGGCTGTCCCACCAGCGGATCACCTGTCATCTCGCGAATGTCCCACCAGCAGATCACCTGTTACCCCGCGCTTGTCCCGCCAGCAGATCAACTGTCAGCTAGCGCTTGTCCCACCAGCAGATCAACTGTCACCTGGCGGCTGTCCCGCCAGCAGCAAGTCTAACCGAGCTTTTATGATTTTTTTTGTTGCAAAAAACAGCTGCATCCCCAACATGCAAATTTGCTCAGGATGACTTGCAGCAACCCCAACAATATGTAGCCCAAATCTTATGCTGTCCACACGAGAAACATGCATGATATAGCATGACCTTCCATAAAGCAGTACGTTTTTGCCCATATACGCTGACCCAATCCCCTATACACTGAACCAATATGGCGTTTATTCATGGGTTCAATTCAGTGAACTTGAATTAGGATACATATATACGTTCTGGATAGGCATATGTTAATGTTCGAACAACAGCGTATTTCAGTCAAGACACAGGCAGCCCGCATCTTCGTAAGTTGTTCAGTGCATTAGCGAGGAATATTATTCACCTAGAAAACATAGCAGTATTTACCAGAAAAAAGCAGGAGTATGGAGATATAGTTGAGTTGATACTTCGGCAACATGCCTTTGTTGAAACGAAACCAGAAAATACGCTTTTTCTATTGTTACAAAAAAGGCATGTTGCCGAAATCTCAACCCAGCTATATTTCCATCCTCCTGGTTTTTCTCCGGGGAATAAGGCTAATGATGCTGTCTTATCAGCCCACATCTTACAAATTCCAGGGAAAGCTCTATCGTTTGGACTCTAATAACTGGAGAACTGAAGGTGATCGGCCCTAAAACCAGATATACTCTTAACCGGCGTGGCGAGAGGAAGGCATGTGTAGAACTGCGGCCCAGACCAGACCACACATGCGTGGTGTGAGGCGAGCGAACTTGCCCAATAGAGTTAGCATGGGCGACGGTCAACTCCGTCTCATTTGATACCTGTGAGAGCAGCGAAGAAAATCGGCCGCCTCGCACTGATGGATTACATTCTGCTGCTTGCGAGGAGACGTATAGAGTAAAACCGGCCTCTATATAGCGACCAGTAGAACCCACAAACACGCATTAAGTGACGCTTCTAAAGTGATTTTTGCGCAACTGTTTATCTGAGACTATCTGGGACCCATAAATACAGCGTGACGAAAGTTAGTGCCGAGCAAAGCATCACTAAGCGAATCACCACCAACGTATGCACACTCGTCACCGGAAAAAAAAACAGCAGGACGGCTCGCCAACCAACTCACACAATCAAGCAACGGCCAGATCTAAGTCCAAGACAGCCAAAGCAGGCTTCCCCGCGGCGATGCCGTAGAATGTGCCAATGGCCTCTTGTGCGAGGTTTTCCCGATCTGGAACAACAGTAGCCAGACCTAACCTGGATCTCCACGGACTGCTGCGATCTGGAACAACAGTAGCCAGACCTAACCTGGATCTCCACGGACTGCTGCGATCTGGAACAGCAGAAGTCAGACCTAACCTCGGATCTCCACGGACTGCTGCGATCTGGAACAGCAGTAGCCAGACCTAACCTGGATCTCCACGGACTGCTGCCTGCGAACACAAAATACTGCCGGCGGCTAGTAACGGCTGTTCACACGGACGGCAGCAGCCGCGTTCTGCGTTGGGCGGAGACACGTGCATTTGGCGGCGAGTGACAAGGTTGTCGAGAGATATAAGTTTTGTCATTAAACACTGTGCTGAAGTTCCGGAGAGAAATGTATGTTGTGCAGCTGTGTGGCGCTAATTCTAAGATTCCTTGCTGTATAAACCGTCTTTTGGTTTCAGGTAACTTTTTAACCCTTAGCCTCATTTACACTGCCTATATGTTTTTCTTTTAAAGACGCATTTCATACACCCAGATATTAGCATCAGGACTTTTCAACGCCGAAAATGCGTGTTAAGCACCTCAAGTTAAGTGTTCGGTGATCTTGTTCGGACAGATAAAACGCCTACTTTTGCTAGGTTAGCAACTAATACAGATGCTTCTTATGCCCGGAAAAGGTTCTGTGTAGACTTTGCTACACTTTTAGAATTCAACTTCTTTTATCGCGTTTGCGATACGTAATTTACATTGCTAAAAACCGTTTCCCCAGTTCCACAACAGCACGCCAAATTCTGGATTTTTATGGAAATGGAAGCTTTGACGCGCAATTCTAGGCCCTCAGTTTTAAGCTCCTTTCGCATTTTTGCTCTCGTTTTCGTGGATAGATACATCACATCAACATTCCAATAAACATCACTTTGCCGACAACAAACCAATGCTTTTCCAATCGATGGTTCATTATATTTGTTCCATAGCAAACCAAAGTGCAGAGGCTCCCATCTTCATCATTTTTCTAGCCAGAGCTCGCAGAAAAACACTCCACCAGACATCGGCCACAAAAGCTGGCCTTCATAAATGCAGAGTGCAGAGTTTTTTTTTTCCTACATCGGCTGCCCGCAACAAAAGAAACAGGAGCCTGAAATGCCACCCAAATTTTTAGCTCAAATTACCTAGAGTGAGGGTAATTACCGCCCTGGGAATCGACATGCATGATATGATTTCATTATTTTCCAATCTTTACTTTTATTGACTCGTTTTCCATGAGCGTTTTGGGAACAATCACTTCGCTTATTGTGTTGCAGCACTGGTTCAAATATTTTGTCACCAGTCGGGAGCTCTTCGGGAGAGCTCTGGAGTCCGAAACAACACCCTTTGTTTCTAGCTCGTTATGGATGTCAGGAAAGATATTGCTGCAGACCTGAAGTGATTCAGCATGACGCATCACTTGTCTTGCTCTAAGCCTAGGTTGTTGAGGCATCGTTTGACAAACACGCATAATAAATACAATATCATTGAATTCCTTGCGTCAGGCGTGATCTTACTGAGGAGACCAAAGTGGCAAACGAACTGCACTAGTTCACAATGCCCTCAGAACGACTGGTAATTAAAGCTAGGCGATACTCTGGACTTCCATAAGAACATTAATCCTTTAGTAAAGGTGATTCCTGCAAGATTCATCAAGATATTAGGCGAGAAAAGTGATATGTAAGATAGCAAAACTAGAGGAGTGAGAAAAAGTGCGTTGGTTCCCAGTATGCTAAAATTCAGTATTATGAGTAGGAAATCTTAATTTTTATGGACAATTTTGGCCTTTCAGTGTTGGATGCTTTCCACAATGTCAGTTTTGCATTCATGGATGTCTTCAGTTTTTGATTCATTCCGGTCTCCTTCGGACCTTTCGCGAAGACTTCATTTTGGTCCCCATGGCACCTTACTTAAAGGGAGTGTTCCACATCTGCATGTGGTTTTGAACTGAAAAGCCAGCTTGAAGATCATTCTGTGCGGTTCGCAGCCCTGCCCTTGTTAATACTTAAAACCCTCTAATTTCTGGGCTTCACGCCCGCGGAGATGTGCAGACTATTGCACACTGTTGCACACTGTTGAAATAATATGCACACTATTTCAAGGCTACCCAGGCATTCATGAGGCCATAATAGCGTTATTCGGCTCCTGGCTGAATAATCCTGATATTCAGCTCCTGGCTGGCCATGCGGCGTTCAAGGTCAGGAGAATATAATTGCCGAGTCGTTCATATCTGCAGTTCGTCTTATCTGCAGCACCGAGTCGTTCATATCTGCAGTTCGTGTTATCTGCAGCGCCGAGTCGTTCATATCTGCAGTTCGTCTTATCTGCAGCGCCGAGTCGTTCATATCTGCAGTTCGTCTTATCTGCAGCGCGACTTCCAAGTGCACCGGCCGCCGTTGGCTCTCAACTAATGTTGTTCAAGCTATGTAAGATTCCAACATTATTTACGTGTTGTGCTACATAATACAAGAAGTCACATATTATTCCTAGATGTTACAGAAAGAAGACTTGCAATCGAACGACTTACAATGACGCACACAAATCCAAGCAAGCACCTTAAATTCACGGCTAAATATGCAAGAACACGACGAGAAAGGGCCAAAACATGAGCACCTGGCGATATTTGGTTCAGCACATATCCAGCACCACCGCGGTGCACCTTTGAGCAGATTGAAGCACTACAGATGAGTGCTGTCATACAGACTCCCCAGGACAGTCAAACAGGGACACGGTAAAAAGCATAGTTACTAAATATAGAAATTGTGTTGTCTAGAACAGCCTTTTCCGCTTAAAAGCATACCATTACTTATCTTGTGAGCTTATTTCATCACATATGATACCTGCTTCAATATCTTTTAACGTGCAGCA